TTGGTGCAGGGGCGTGTAGTCCCAGTTGTGCGTCACCCGGACCAGGTCCGGCGCCAGCTCGTGGATGCACTCGAAGAGGGCCGCCCGCTCGGCGTCGTCGGGCCGCGGCGTCAGCATGAGGTCGTGGTAGACCGTCGTGCCGTTGTCCGTCCGCATCGAGATCAATCCGTCGTCGACGGCGTGGAGCGCGCGGAGCAGCGCGGGCGTCGCAGTGCGGTTCCGCACGAGGGCCGTGAAGGCCGTCGAGCCCGCGCCGTTGTACTTGCCGCCGAGCTTCGGGTGGCTCGCGGTCGTCTTCGCGCGCACGGACGCCTCGGGCAGCGCGGCCGCGACGGCGCGTAGCAGCGCCGGCGTCGCGCGCTCGTTGGCGCAGATGAGGTGGAGCGCCGTCGCGCCGTGGGCGTCGACGGCGTCGTCGCTGTTGCGCGCGGCGGCCGCGGCGACGGCCTCGCAGGTCACGCCGGGCTGCTGGACGACGTCGAGGAGCAGCGGCGCGTCGCCGGCCGCGTAGACCTTGTTGTGCGACCGCATCATCGTTTTGTGTGCGTTTACGCTTTTGCTGGTTGCATCGCTTTAAGCGCTCGTGGCATGTTCAGTGGGAATGAGCGCTCCATGCTAGCGCTCTTTAAGCGCTCGTGGCATGCTCAGTGGGAAATGACTTGCCGTTGTTGATACGTCGTGCGGCAGCACTGCGCGAGACGCAGTGCTGGCCCACCGCCAGCGGCGGCGCGGGGCAGCCTCGGAGATGGCACCTGGTGGACCCGCCGCGGGCCCTGGCGCGGTCGCCGCGGCCCCGGCGACGAACCGGCGTCGAGCGCCGGCCCCGCATCGCGGCGCGGCACCTGTCACCGCTGGTCCGGCCACGGGGCGTCGGCGGCCGGCCGAGCAGCCCTTGACGAGGTCGCCGCGCTCGCCCGCGCCCCCGACCGGTGCACGCGTGCCGCGGGCAGCCGCGCGGCGGGACAAGCGGATGAGGCGCGCCTTCGGCGCCGAGGCGTCGACGTCGGCCGCGCCGTCGCACCACGGGACGGCCAAGGTGTCGAAGCAGTGCACGCGGTGGTGCCCGGCGCCGGGCTGCGACCGCGGCTACGGCTGCGAGGCCGGGG